GTCTGCAGCAACAACGACCGATCGCAGCGCCCAAGTCGTCTCAGCCGTGTCCATCAACCGGCTCGCCCAAGTGCTTCAACTCGCTCAAAGCAAGATCCAAGCCACGAAAGCCGAGTGCCAAGGGAGACGGGCGACAAACAACGCGATCGGTCGCCACAAAGACGCCTACGATGGACGCCACCACCACCCGCGCATCTCGGTGCATCGAGTCAACAAGCCAACGCCGCGACGATAGTAGCAAAGACCTATGTAGAACAGTGACGTGATACCTAACCGCAAATAATACGAAAAAATGAAACAAAAGCCTTCACGCAGCATCCCTCAGCCCAATGAGCAGCTCGTTGTACAAACGTTTCGCTCGAAGATTCCGCTGCAGTCGCAGGAGTTTCTCTCGCTGGACTTGAGATCCCGCCGTTCGACTTGGCGCAACGTGCTTGCGAGGATTTGCAGCTCCTCAAAGATGCGTCGAGCCAACGCGTTTGCTCATTTCATATTCAACTCGTCGTCGGTCACTGTGGACGACACCCGTTTTGCTTTGAAGCGCGTCGAGACGGTCGATGGCTGCACACATCAAGCAGAAGCTCATCGCGGAGCACACGGCGGCGATCTTGAAGCATCGCTAGCTCCACGCCAGGCTGACCACTGCTGAAGTCGAGCAACTCGAGCGTCACACCGCGTCTTCTCGCGCAGTGACCATGCCCTACAGAGACGTCCACGGCCACTTTTTTCATTGCTGTTCCGGGTTGATCCCGGCATGAGCGCGAAAGTTGACGATCAACGGTCGTTCGTCTCGTTCCGAAAGCCAACGTTGAGCGAGAGGAGAGTCGCACCTCGAATGACACGTGAAAGGCCGTACGAGCTTAAACACCGACACTGAGAGAAGCATTTGTGTCCTCATCACGATCAGTCACTCCGGCACCGGCATGGCCACGACGCGGGGCCAAATTAAATACATTTGCGAGGTGCCGACGTCGCACAAACGTGGTTTGAAGGCCATCGTCGAGCTGTAGTACCTTGCGCAGTACGAGCTCCTTGCATGCGGAGTCCGAAAGGACTGGCAGTCGTCGGGATGCCTCCTGCACCCAAGTCGCCGCCAAGATTCGGCGCGGGGTCGTTGACTTCAACGGGTAGCTAAACACACGCAACCCCAACCTCTGCAATAACTGTACCGGTACCGTCGTCGAGCATGCCTTAGTGTTGCATTAATTCATGTTGTACTCGATGCCAAGATAGTTTGTTCAATCGATTGTTTAGCTATCAGCATCACTACAAGCACGATGTACGCCACGCTACATATCAACAGGTCGACAAACTTTTGTCACGAGTGGCTAAAGACGCGTGGAATTAGCCTATCACCCCACGTGGTGTCGATTGGGTCGCTTGATCGAGTTTGAGAGGGTCTTCGTTACCACTGGGCATTACGTCGCCACTCGGGAGAGTCTTGGCAGTTCGAAAGAAAGCACTTGGATGATCTACCCGGTCGACGCGGTGCTCAAGGCGCCTGCGCAGTCCAAGCTCATGGCGCTGCCGCTGCTGTACCTGCTGCAGTCGCTTGACAAGACGTTCCTGGACCGCGTCCTCGCCGTGCTTGGCCACACGGACGGCCGCGACAAGACGGTCAAGATTGTGCAGTACTTTTGCAAGCTCGCGCTCGCGTTGAACCAGGCCAAGTACAAGCCGCTCATTGGCACGCTGGCCAAGCAACTCAGCGGCGCGCGGCGGGTCATGCGCCTCGGCAAGAGCCTCAAGGTCGTCAACAACTCGCTCGATGCACTTGCCGAGCCGGCGGGCTGGCAGCGCACCGCGGCCATGCTCAGCGTGTGCGCCGGCACCGTAGGCGACGTAGGCGACGACCTCTGCTGGGCGTCCGACATGGCGCTCGCGCCGTCCTGGGTGCGCTGCGTTTGACAGTCTCGTCGGCCATGTCTCATGTCTTGTCGGATTAGATTGGCGCGTATGACGTGTGGGTGGATCGACTGTGGTACGCGCGGAACGGTCTCGGAATGTACAACGACGATCGATCTCCTTAGGTTTTTCACGCTTTGCTGCGACTTGCCGCTCAACACGTGCGCCATCTTGGACGCCCGCGCGGCCCTCGTCGCGTGCGACCCCGAGGCCGACCCAGTCGCATACCACAACTGCCAAGTCAAGCTCGCGTCCGTGACGATCGCGCAGATCAAGGCGGTTGCTGATTTCTTCCACGCGACGCGCCTCGCGTTCAACTGGCCGACCGGATCGACGGGCCAAGATGCCGTCTGCGGCCTCGTGTCGGCCTCGTGCTCGCTCGTCAAGATGTGGAAACCGGCCTTCTTGACCAAAGCACCCTAGTGTTGTCGCTAGATAAATTAACGCTGCATGCAGATAGAAGCCATTTATATAGCTTTGCCCAAGCAACACCCTCCAGCTGCGTCCTCTTCATGACTACCCTACGAAAGGACGCGCAGTCTACTGTCTTGCTAGTCAGAACGCGGTTATATGGTACCGGTATCGATGGATCTGTCATTGTGAGATGACACAAGCCGTCCGAACTCGATGGCCAGCCACAGTGAAAGAATCGGTTGGAGTATAAATACAGAGGAGCTGCGTCTACTTATTTTTCCGAGAGCACCTTAAAGAGGCTTGGGACGACCTCCATGCGGAACGGACCCGGGCCGTGGAGCACTTCGCCGTCCATGTTGAGGCACCCGTTGGGCTGGTCTTGCTCGATCACGAGCGCCTTGATCTTCTTGTACGTGAGCTGTTTGCTCTGGAGCTCTTTCCCGAGCATGTAGAGCCAGAGAAGATGCAGCGTCTGGAAAAAGTTGCCCTTGCGCACAATCATGAGGTCGAGGCAGCCGTCCGACGGGTGGCAGTAGACGCCATCGGGCGCCGCGTTGACCGCGCCGACCACGATAAAGTTGCCTCGCTCGACCTCCCACGCCTCATCCTTGTAGCGCCGCGCACTTGCCGGACTTCGCACTGGGGCAATCGCTTAATCTCACGTACACCAGGCTTCGAATACCTGCAGCGACAGGGCGAACCATGCTCTGGCTACGGAGCCGCGCGAGGCCGTCGTAGATGTTGCCTTCTTCCTGCACATTGGATACGTCTCGCGATCCATCATGTTTTGGGAGCGAAGCATACCATGTCGAATTGGTCGTCTGCGCCCTCGTTCTTGATGTCGTCGTACTTGCGAAGCGTCGGCTCGGGCAGCACGGGAATGTACTTGATTTGGCCCGTGTGTCGGCGAGGAAACAGCGCCCGCTTGATCTACAAATGCGTCGATAAACACGCCATTTGGGTCGAGATAACCTTGAGAAACGCATAGCGCTTCGTGCCCATCCAGCGGTACTTTTCCGACTCTTCGGCAATGTCGGCCGCGACGCCCCAGCCGAGCCCGCAGCAACTGTAGTGCACCACCTCTCGCTGGTGCTCGGCAATCGCCGTGATCACATCCAACGGCCGCAGCTTGCGCTATGTCGACGGTATACGAACCATGTAGGAGGCGGTGTGTGGTACCTTGATGATGCAGTAGACAGCCGCGGCGGTCGTAGGAATACCCACTCCTGTGCCAAATGCATTTTGCGTCCCTTTGTCGTTCGCATAAGAAGACAAGAAGAGCGTGGGAAGAATGTACCGGCCGAGATGAGCGAGATCGGCGTCGACGCCACAACCTCCTTCCACTCGTCCTCGGGGCGCGCGAGGAGCCCGTTCATGTACTCGCAGATCGTGCCGTCGCCACTCACAAACACGATGGCTTCGTAGCCTTCTTCGGGCGAGTAGTCCTTGCCCATGTCCACGGCATGGCCGGCGTACGTGGTGTAGTCGATATGGTAGTCGAAGCCCGCGAGATCAAAGTACGGCTTGACATCATTCTCCCAGATCTGGGCCACGTCGTCACGCCACCGATGTTTCCAAACGCCAAGTACCTGCGGCGCCCGACGCGCGCCCGAGTGCGGGTTGACAACGACGCGGATCTTGCGCATCTGCGTCGCCGGCGGCACGCGCGCCTGCCAGCGCACAAGCTCCTGTAGCGCAGTGATCCAGCCAGACGCAATTGCCTCGTTTCTCGCTTGTACGTCCATGGTCGACGGTCGTCGCAGGAGCGCCTTGGCGCCTCGACCTGCAGCAAGAAGTGACGTGAACATCTATGAATGACATGCTCGCGTACCTTTGCCTTTGCGGAAGAAATGCACGCGGAACGCGTCCTTCTTGCCGCTGATGGGCGCGGCGCCCACAATGTCGTCCGTCTCGATGCAGCCGACTTGTTTTCTCCTATAAGAACCCGAAAACTGAGTGTCCACGTGGCGAAACGAGGTGCGGCGAACCCGGTCGACCACACGAGGAGGTCGCGCGACAAGGCCAGCGTGTATGCCTTCTTTTGGATCACGACGTCGGTCGTCATATCGCACTCGTTGGGAAGGTCGCGCCGCGAGTGGGCCTACAAATGCATGGCATGAGATGGTGTGGCCGTGGCATGGGCGTACGTGGATCATGCGGATGCTCTCGCGGACATCGTCCGGGTGCGGTAGCCGCACTTCTTCGTCGTGGATCGTGAGCTTGCGCTGCGACACCAGCGATTTCGCGGCTTCGCGCAACGACACCCGCGACGCCGACGCCGACGAGAGGCGCGAATTGGAGTTGGAGAACTGCGACACCGAGTAGCGCGACGACGAAAAGTCCGACTTGGGTGTCCCGAGTCCGTTCTCAGCGCTGCTCATGCGGATGCTGTCCGTGTCCGACTTGGGCGTGCCAAAGGACACGGACTGTTTCGCCGAGAGCATGCGCTTGTAGGCGGACGTCAGGTTGGCGTCAAGGGTAGCGCTTTCGGCGTCGTGGCTCGAGGCCATCGCACCGACGTCGTCGTCGAGTTCCTGCGTCTCGACCAGCAGCGGCTTCTTCCACGCTCCGTCCATGGTTTTCGTGGAGCCAAATCCGCAAATGGATTTGTAATGCGCCCGTTTCTCGGTGTGTTAAAATTCGTATACCGAAACAGGTGGACAGCCTCTGGCGCTGAAGCTGTTTACGGCCTCTTGGAGCTTACACGAGCAGTCCTGTCGCTTGCACCGCGCTGCAGGATGATGACGCAAAGACTCACAGGTCTTGGTGTCATTGACACGAGTTTAGTTAGTCGATGCGAATATATTTGCATGATCCTTCCACGATTGCGAACGACTAGTTTGCTCAATCGGCGTGCGTTGACAGGATTTCACACGTGAAAATTTCAGTTGGTTGCCAGTATCCGGAAACATATCCGGACAATAGTACCGGATAAAGATCGGCCGAGTGTTCGATTGGCGCGATGGGCGACGACGCGCAGGAAGCGACCGCGATGATGGGGAGAATGGAGGTTCATGAGCCGCAGACCCCGAGGTAGACGACCCCTCCATGCAGTCTTCATGAAGAGACGACCGGGACATGCATGCAGCTGGTTCCACGGAGCCGAGGTCGAGACGCCAGGAGTACCCCGGAAGCGTCATCAGACGACCCCAGCGGTCTCCCCGAGCGACCCGTCGGGTACGAGGCCAACGAGCATGGACAGCGAGGGCTCATGACGGACCTCTAGCGGCGGCGCTGCATCTCAGGAAGCGCCACAACCACGAGAAGTCGCCAGACCCGTCGGCGCTACGCTCGACCCAGCGAGCGTGGTCGACAGGGGCCGACGCCGTGTCTCGGAATCTCCTCGATGTGCTTGACGAAGAAGGCGACGCGACGCTTATTGTGTACCAGCCGTCGTGCTTGGATCATCACACGGGGCGTCATCAAGAGAATCGACAGCGCGTCGCTGCACTCTGCGGCCCCCACGGCGTCTTGAACCTGCCCCGCTTCCAGCACCTGCGCTGGGCGCCATTGGATCAACTTGTACCAGCTCGACTTGTGGATCTGGAGCGCGTGCACTCGCGGGCATACTTGCGCCACCTTGAGGCGACGTGCGCGTTGCTGCCACCCCAAGACGCGAATCTCTCGATCCAGAACGAGTTTGAAGGCCATCGATCGCACAAGTCGTGGATCCAGGTCATTCGTTTTTTGCTCGTGACTTGCGAAAACGTCCTGTAGACGACCAAAGCGGTGAAGTGCCACGAAGACACGATCTGCAACGCTGCCGTCGACTTGGACCCGGACATGCCGATCTCGAAAGAAAGCTTCATGACGGCGCGGTATGCCGTCGGCGCTGTCTTGCATGCAGTCGACGAAGTCGTGTGCGGTCGAAGCAGGTATTATGGCCAGCTTATGCGTCCAACGTCGATTTCATGGCGTACTAGAAACGCATTTGTCGTGGTGCGACCGCCGGGACACCATGCTGGACCGTATGGCTGCGTCGAGAACGACGCCTTTCACAAGTCTCCCGGCGGATGCTCGTGTGGGTTTTGCCTCCTCAACAACGTGGCGATCGGAGCAGGTATTAACACCACTCATACTACCGCGAGCATACCTCTGAACGAGGGTGTCTAGCCTACGCGATGACGACGTACGGCCCGTCGCACTACTCAAAAGCCTCCATCAGCCATGCCACAGTGCGCCGTGTCGCGATTATCGACTTTGACATTCATCACGGCAATGGGACGGAAGAGATCGTTCGGAACCTGCGGCTTCATGACCATCGTTACCCACTGCCACCAAGCTGGGCTCCGAAAACGTTTCCATCCTACATGCCATGGCGCGACGATGACGATGTCGGACGCTTTGCCATCGATCGATAGCATCGTTTTGTGTTGATATGGCACTTGTAGGCCGACAACGTGTTCTTTGCGTCCATGCACGTATACGACGAAACGACGGCGTTCTACCCCGGATCCGGACGCGGGCCGCATGGCAGGAACGAGCTCGCATCGTGCAACACTATTGTCAACATTCCACTGACGAATCTCGGCGCAAGCGGCAAGCGAGGCACCGAGCGCACACGCCTTGAGCACATGGAGCGCGCATCGAGCGAATTTCAGTCCAAGGCCACCGAGGTCCTCTTGCCGGCGCTGCGCGCATTTGCACCCGACTTGATATTGATCTCGTCGGGCTTTGATGGACATGTCGACGATTACTACCACGGCCTCACGGAATGGGACTACGAATGGATCACGCAGCGCCTCGTCGAGATCGCCGACAAGTGCTTTGCTTTTTGTATTTGGAGTATCGTTGCATCTGACGTTCGTGTATGTCGGCTATTGTAGCTGCTGCGACGGTCGCATCGTTTCGGTGCTGGAAGGCGGCTACAGCTTGGCGCCCCCGAGCAAGGCCAGTTCGTCGAATCTCGCGCTCGCCGCCGACCGCCATGGCCGCGACGTGGATCCGGATCTGATCAAATTTGGTGGCATGGCGCGATCTTGCGCCGCCCATGTCGCAGCGCTGTCCCGCGACTGACGAAAGTTCGTCGCGAATGCACGTAGCCCGACCTTTACAGCGTGTCGTGCCCAGTGTTTCGCTCCATGGCCATCACCTCCGCCACCTCGTACCTGGGCACGAATAAGACGCTAAGATCTGATGCAACCGTCGACACGATATGCACAACACCATTACACCGCGGTTCCTCCTCGTTCTATGGCCAGTCGCACGGATGGGGACGGTGCAGTGGAAGTCGTACGGTTCGTGCCACCATTGCCGGGCGCGCTCTCCACCCATGACCACCAACCCATCAACCCAAGCGATGGCACTCGGCTCGTTCGCGCGGCTCGGTCCTCTGCCCACAAGCTCAGCGCGTCGTCGGCCGGCATGGTGGAGTGTTGGTCGACGGGATCTCGCTGCTTTTTCTGTCGACTCATTTTTATTCCAGCGGGTGCGCAAGACATACAAAGACCAAGTGCAATAGCAGCTGGTGGCATTTTATCAATGACGAAAGAGGTGCCCATTTTTTTGCGTCGATGGTCTGAACACTCGTCGTATACTTGGAGTTTGTATCGCGCAATGCGCTTTACTTGTGATCTTCCCTTCGACAGAGTGGACGACGACGTGCTGCCGGTCCCGCCGCTCGACCGACCAAGTACGATGCTCACGACCGAGCCCGCCCCGTTCGTACGACGCGACAGCGGCTACTTCCAGCGGGACAGCACGATGTACACGCACACGCCGGCCTCGACGCTCTTTGAGAAGCACCTCGAAGACGTCTACGCGGTACGAGACGGACCGGCGGTGGACGACTCATGGCTTCTTGTAGAGCACAGCACCGATCGATGGCTCGGCGTTCTTTGAGACGTCGGGCTACTACGACTCGATGGAGTCCAACACGGTGCACGTCTTTATGAACTACATTGGTATCAAGAGCTTCTGGGGCGAAGGCTGCAAGCCCGCGCCAGAGCGCGTCGCGCGCTCGGAGGCCGAGCAGTTTGAAGAAGTCGAAGAGAACGCGTGCCTCACCGAGCTCTTCAACGAGTACATGCAGAGCCAGGCCGCGGTCTCCAAGATTCAACACGAGACGTCCAAGTTCAAAGCCAGCGTCAACCAGGCGCTGCAAGGCGTCAAGAACACTGTACAGGCCATCGAGCGCCTCCGGCTCACGATGCTTTGCGAAAGTGCGAACGATGGCTACGAGACGGAAGACAGCGAACTCGGCAGCGAAGCTAGCTTTGCCGACAGCGTGTGCCTGGCTGGTATGCACAACTCGCCGTCAACGCTCCAGCCGTACTTTGGCCATCTCCGCATCCTCAAGAACTCGGGCTTTCACTTCCTGAGCAGCTGGCACAAGCGCTGGTTCTACCTCGACTTTGCGAAAGGCGAGCTGCTCTTTTTCAAGCGAAGTTACTGGAAGATCCCGAAAGGTACGGGACTGGCACCTACAAGTACTTATGCTTATGATGGCGTAGGCAAGCTTGAGATGAAGTCGGTGACCAAGATTGCACCCCTCAACAAGACCGACTTCCAGCTCGAGCTCCTCGGCGGCTTTAGCTGCCTCGTCCGTGCCAGCTCGATGGAAAAGATGGAGCTCTGGGTCAACCTCTTGCTCTACGCCCGGCGGCAAGCACGTGCAAACGACTTGGCCACGCAGCGGCCGATCTCGAGCAGCGCATTTTCACATCAAGCGCCGTCGCTCAACCCGAACCAGGTATTAATACTCAGTTGTCTAGTTGGGTGCGTCGTTTCTGACGCGCATGGTGTGTAGCGGACCGTTGCTTGGCTAGAGAACCAACCGTACTCGGCGTCGCATCCCACTCCGCGTTCGGCCGAACCACGTCCCGTAGAAGCTGCCCGGCGTCGAGGACTGCAACAGCAGCAGGTAGAGGCCGCCTGTCGTTGCACGCACTCATCGTATTCTTTGTGTAGCGAACAACCTCGTGGGCAGACAACAAAAAGTTCAAGCCAGCGCTCTCGATGCCGTCGGCCGCGTAGCTCGCCACACTCGCTACCACTGGAAGTAGTCGGCACGGCGAAGCTAACTCGATGATGATGATGATGATCGCGCACGCGGCGTCTTGACGCGCTTTCCTATATTATACAACTACACTACGATAAACACACCCAACTCATTTATTCGCACTCTTTTGCTGCACCTCGGTTTGGTCTGCGACAGAAACAAGGCAATCTTTGGCCGCCGGCACCCACGCGGCAAGCTGCATGCCGGTGTCGTCGGAGACGGTGACTCAAACCCATCCCCAGCCGACCACAGCTCGCACGCACTTGTGGACAAGATTTGTATAAACCCGCGGGATGTTGAAGTTTGCTCTTTCCGAGCGCAGCGCAGAGACACGTCGGCGCGACTTGGAGCTAGCTACTCGGCACAACCTGATCCGCCGACACGACGCGTCTTCTACCGAGAGAGCTACGTACCCAGGCAGAGCTACGTACCCACGCACGACGACGGCCAAGCTGCGTGAAGCACAAGCAGCGGTGTTGCTTGGTTCGTTGCGGAGCTCGTTGCAGCAGCGCAGGTGGCGCCATCGGATAGGTTCAACTTGAAGCCACCTCCGAGTTGGGTGCGGTCCTGGTTGGGCCACCACTGTCCTAATTAGGGTTTTCTTGCCAAAAGACTCGAAAATGCGTTGCCAGCCTGGTTCTCGAAAGCGTCGTGCCGTGCCACTTGGACGCAACAGCTTGCGTGCCATCGACCAAGAAGCGAGCGCGACCGGGCCTCTGCGAAAAGGCGGCGCAGAGTTGGCCGAGATTCAGTGATTTTATCCTAATTAGGATATGAGCGTGGCCCTGTCGCAACCAAATGTTGGGTAATCCTCTTTTCAGCCAATCAGCGGTCGTGTGTTACAGTTCTTTCCGGTCGCTAGCGTTGGGGCAGAGCGGCTTTGGTGCACAGCAGTTCCCAAGTAGATTGGTATGTGAGCTACCTCCGCATGAGGATCTCATGCACCAACGTACGTAGATCTAACCATGCCCGGCGTGAAGCGTGTTCAACTGGACGGCTGGGGTGGCCACCACACCGGCAAGGTCATCTGCGTGGACTCTCGCAGCGACGGACGCACCTCGGGCTACTACGCCCAGGCGACCGCCCCTGTGATGCAGCAGCGCGCCAAGCCTTTCGCCGCGCCTGCCGCCTTCAAGGACGAGCCAACCAAGTACGGCCAGCAGTTCCACCCGGCCAACACGGGCGTAGACCAGCTCCAAGTCGAAATCGCCAAGGCCTGCAACGTCATCTCCAAGCAAGTGGCGACGCTTCCGATCTCGATCCGCGAGTGCTCGGTGTGCCTCTCGAGCAACGCGCACACGCAGATGGTACCGTGCGGCCACGTCTTCCACTCGCGCTGCTTCCTGCGCTGGTTCCGCACCAACCGGTCGTGCCCGCTCTGCCGCACGGGCGTCGATCGCGTCCAGCTGGCGCCGACCTTCCAGGACAACGACACGTCGAACGACGTTGATGCCATCATGCAAGAGGACGACGACGACAGCGACGATGACATGGACGTCGACAGCCACAACGCGGCTCTCATGCACGACGCGGACCTGATTGACTTTTTGTCGCACGCCAAGGCGTCCGAGACGGACGAGTTGGATCTCTTGCCGCTTGAAGACATGGAAGTCCTCGAGGAGATGACCATGGACGAGTCGGTGGATGAGTCGCACCACCATCACCACGAGCATCACCACCACCATTCGCATGCGCACCCGCCGCCGCAGTACATTCCGCAGACGACGCTGCCAAACTACTGGATGGTCCTCAACAACGGCCAAGCGCTTGCGCCGACGCTGTCTCGGCCAGCGCCGTCGCCGTCCCAGGCACCACGCATGGTGCACATTGCGCCGCGGCCCAACACGGCGCATCTGCACCGCCCGTCGCTGCCGTCGCCCATCAAGGCTGACCCGCCGCTTCGCGACCTCAAGATGAGTCCGTCTGTCGTGATGCTGCCGGCGTCGACCAAGACCAACTCGTGCCGGTGCGCGGGCGGGTGTCGCAACGGGCGCTGCGCCTGCGTCAAGGAAGGCAGCATGTGCGGCGTCACGTGCCGTTGCACGTCGTGCAAGAACCCGTTCTTGTCGATCGCGATGGCCGGCATTGACGTCTCGACGCTCGTGCGCGACGACTGCTTCATGCACAACCTCTCCAAGATCCGCGACATGATGACCAAGCTTCACGAAGTCATTCCGGTTCCGTGCTGCCCGGGCCTGGCGTCGAACCAAGGGATCTCGATCCTCCAGTGCATTGATGGCTTTGTGTGCGGTGGCTGTGCGAAGAGCTACGACTTTTCATGGTGCTCCAACAAGCTCTGCGACCGCGAGAAGGCCAAGCGCAACCATTGCGCCAAGTGCAAGCGTTGCGGCGACCACCGCGACGTGCACTGCGACGACTGCGGCCGCTGCTACTTTGCGGGCGTGTCTTCGAGCTTTGCGTGTCCGTGCACGGAGAAGGCGTCGACGTCGCCTGCAGCGGACGCGGCCGCCAAGCCCGGCGACGACGAAGAAGAAGGCTGTGTCATCATGTAGTTAAAGTGAGTGTACGATATGTAGTCAACCGAGTAGACGTAGAAGACGAAGCAGAGACCTAAGCATTTGTGAATCCAACTATCTTATTGAAGTAGCAACAACGTGCGACGAGGCGACGAGTAGCTGGCTTGGATGGTGGGCTGGCAAGTGATGATCTGGTTGGGCAGCCGGTGAGTCGCTCGATCGCACCAGATGCTGTGAGCGAGGTGGGCAAGTTGGTGGCGATGGCGTCAAGCAATGCGGATCACCCACCCTTCCATGATCTCGGCTGGCTGAGCGCGCTTGAATGCCCTAGCCCCAGCGCATCGAAGCGCAGCCTCGTCCCGTGAGTCAATGCAACTGCAAGCACATCCTCGGCCTCCTATTACGTGCTGCGTGCGCAGAGTATAACGTCGGCTTCAGGCGCTGCGGAGCTGCAGAGCTGATCGAGTTGTTGTTTCTCTGTGGTCCACAGCGTTGGCGCATTTTTATCAAAGTATCAACCGGCCTGACCAACCGACGCGCTGCAAATGCAGCAGACCAACCACGTTGCGTGTCAAGACCTCTACGTGTTGTTGGGTGTTTAGAGCCATTCGACCGCAAAGACGGCAGCGATGAGGACGACCAAGGCCACGTAGTCCATGGCGCGGAGGAACGGTCGCTGCTTCTGGAAGGACTGGAGCGAGCCGACTTCGGACGAGAGCGTGCCCATGTACAAGAGCTGGCATACGATCGAGACGAGCTCGAGCAGCGCCTCCTGCGAGTATGTCAAGCCATACGGGTTGGCAATGTAGCCGTGGACGGTCACATAGAAAAAGCCAACTACGCACAACCATCCATCAACCGGGCGCTTCGAGATCGATGACAAGGACGTACACAAGGACGTGAGGAAGACGCCGAGGCCGATGAAGAACGAACCCCACTTGACATGGTACCTAGGCAACACGTGAGCTTTCACGCTACTATATTGCGGATCGTACGCGTGGGCCGGCGACGCAATACGGAGGCGCGCGATTTGGGCCATGATCATCATGATCCACGAGCTCACAAAGAAGAAGATGGTCGAGATGATGTGCGTGTTGCGCCAGCGCTTCATGTCAAACGTGCAGAGAACCGTGAGGCCCGAAGACGTGAGGAGACCCCAGACGTAGTAGACCCACGCGTACTTGGTCATATTGCGCTGCTCTTGGATGTACGTCGTGAGGAGCGAGATCGTGAGGAAGATGAAGTACGACGTGAGGTTCATGCCAATGCCAAAGACGTAGAACTGCGGATGGGCCATCGCCGCCGTCGACAGCGTCGGGTACGTCTCCGTGCACTTGTAGTGGTGCTGGCACGTGTAGACCATTGTGGCCGCCATCGTGAGCAGGCCCGAGACCGGGATCATCGTCGGCAAGAGGCCAACCGAGAAGAAAGCAGGCGCCGGCGCAGCCTTCGTGGCGGGCGTGGTCGGCGGGGCGGCGACGGGCGTCGACTTGCGCTGCTTCATCCTCAATCAAAGGTGTTGACGCCGTCGCGTTCAATCAAACGGGCTTGCGTCAACCGCGAGTAACCGGTCCCACACCTGCGACACCCCGAACCGATTCCACTTCCAATCGGCTATGCTAATCGTTTGCAAACCGGTTAGTTGCCTTATTATTTGAACTGCAGCATGATCGCGGTCGTCCCGAGCGGCCTCGTCGCCGCCATGGCCCAGCTCGAGGAAGATGCGACCACGTACATCCTCGGGACGCAGGACGAAGCATGCATCGCCGTATGGTCCATGAGCTCGATGCGGTGCGCGACAGGAGGCGGAACTGTCAACGGATGCATGCATAGGAGCGTGAGCGAGATGCTTCCGAGCGGGCTCGGCACGCTTGGCGTCATCCACGTCGTGCCCACGCCTCTAGACGAGACGACCCTTCGTACGACTTGCGCCCCGCGATGCAGATGCTGGGGATGCTAAGCGTGCAGACTGTAGGGACGCAACTCGCCTCGAAGCTCCACGACCTCACGACGACGACGTACGCGTTGGTCTACGAGAGCGAGACAAAGTCGCTGCGCATGTTCCCTAGCAGCTCCGAGGTACGTCGACGACGTCGGCTGGTGACGATACGATGCTCGATGATGTAGGAGCCCCTCATCCCTGTGACCGTGGTCGCGACGCCCGGCCACTGCGCATCGCCGTTTACGGCAGCCATCGAGTACGGGATCGTGCGCTGCTTTGCCACGCTTGACATCGCTTGGGTACGCTGCTCAATCATCTCGATTTTCCAATTTTGATCGAACCTCCAAAGACGAGAGATGGGCGCGACCGAAGCATGGCAGCGCGATCGGCCATCGACGAGCGCGTCGCCATGCTATCGGCCCCGGAGGCCATGTACTTCGAGCTTCCGTCCGGCGATATCGCGTCGCGAGCGGGCGACGTTGTCCATACGTCATCACGTGGAAAGCGGTCGGCATGGTCGCTCTCCGAGATCGTTCGCCCCAAACCTCGAGCCAAGAAGGCGCAACGCGCCAACGACGGTTGGGACGACGCGCCAAAGAAGAGCCAACCGGTTGCGTCCACGCACGTTGCCTCGGAGGACGTGCGCTACGGGCGCGTTTGCTATATGGAGCTCCTGACGTCAATGACGCCGTCGACTGGCACCGCGCCCGTCATAACCTCGTCATTCCGCGGTACGCCGGTTGCAGCATGACTTGTTTCATGTTGAAAGATAGATCATCTGTCCATCACCGTGGATGTTGTATGCTGCCTCCCGACGCGCTCGCCGCTCGCGCTTGTGCTCCAGACGCTAGCGAATCGCCTCACCGACCAGGTAGCCGCGCTTCGCACTCATATTCGACCGCAGCGCGCGTTGTAGCTTTGTGAATCCATGAAGCATCTTCAGCCCGAAACGCAGCAGCTTCGATGCCATCAGTTTCCACTGCGTAATGGCGCGATGCACCCCGTTGCCGTATGGTCCGTGGACGGCCACGAGGTGCCGCCGTCGTCACGCGACCACCTCCACGGGCTCTTTTACCAGCCGCTCCACCCGACGTTTTTACCTGCGGGTGCATGGTCTCTGTCCCGGACGCAGCCACCGTCAGACGTGCTTCTCAACGTGCACGTGGGCATTTCTGTTTCCAAGGGTGCGGGTGGCACGCAGTTTCTCGTCTCGGGCGACTATGCCTTCTACCATTACATGCAGCAAGGCGTCAACGACAAGGTACTTGCGGTATCGATCACGGTCGTGAGACGACGTTCCCGCCAATAGGGCTGGGGTTGTGCGTATCGGTCGCTTCAAACCCTGGCTTCGTGGCTTGTGCTCAACCACTACAACCCGGTTATCCATCAATGGTACCTCTATACGCTCAATCGATCGTGCTTTGTAGGGTCCTGTCCCGACCCACCGCGAGATCCAAGAGACACTGGTACACATTGGCGACAAACCGCCCCGCTTTCTGGGCTCCTCCGACTGGATTGGGTCCATCGAAGTGGGATTTGTGCTCGACGAGCGCTACGGGGTACGCTCGTTCTTGACGCGACTGCGCCGCCAACACTGTGCGTAGATTACTTTTCGCAGCCTCTACTGTGCGTCGGGCGCCGACTTGGCGTCCCGAGCGCACGACCTCGCGCTCCATTTTGAAACGCAAGGGACGCCCGTCATGATGGGTGCGGCCTGTACGATGCACGAACGCTCCTGAGAGGTCGTAGGCGGCGCTTCCATGGCGTACACGCTGCTTGGCGTTGACATTCACGCGGTGACGGGCGACGTGGCGTTTTTGGTTCTGGATCCGCACTACACTGGCCCCGATGAGGTGGTGACGATTCAAACCAAGGTACTTGTGCCTCAGAGAACGTCCATTCTTATGTGTGGGTAGACCGTATCCCTCGAAGGTTTCAAGGGCGTCGCATGCGGCTGGCGCAAATCAACGGCGTTTGCGCCACGAAGCTTTTACAACTTCTGCCTCCCGCAGCGCCCCGTGCTCCATTGACCAGCGGTGATAGAATGGTACAGCTCCAACAGACAACCTCTG